CTTCATAAAAGGCATTCAGAGAACTGTGTTCTCCGAGAATGCCGGAGAACTGAGCAGCGATCATTTACCGCTGGTTTATAAACGGACACCTAAATTTGAAATATATTTAAAAAATATTCTTCCCAAATATAATGACATATATTTTAAATACTACAATTTTGGCCATGTTCAATATAATTCAAAATATAAAAAAAAAAAAAATATATATATATATATATATATATATATATATATATATATATATATATACTGTATGTTGAAATGCATTTTTTATATATTACAAAATCTATGAAATATTGTTTTAAAAATGTTTTTTTTAAATATATTCTTCAGATTTTTTTTAACATATAACAAAGTCATTTTAACATATATTTTTTACATATATTTGTAAATGCATTCCAAAAATGTAGATTTGTATTTTTAAAGACATACAGTATATTTGAAAATGTAGTTTTAAAAATATTTTTCATATACTCTTTAATAAAAACTTATTTCAACATACAGTATATATATATATATATATATATATATATATATATATATATATATATATTGAAATATACCCAGCCACGGGTAGCATACGGGTAGTATTTCAAATATATATTTTTTGCCATGTGGGTATCTACTCACTCACTACTATTTGGTCCATTTATGCACAGTCAATATAGTTAAGCCCTGATGAAGGGGGAGTGTGTTTGGCCCCCAAAATGCGTTGGCTTTATTCTGCTATGAATCAGTTTTCTCATTAAATTTCCTTGGATGTTTGGTTGGATTGTATGCATGTGAATTCTAAACTCTGGGTCCTTTATTTGTTCGAGAGTAGTTCCTGTTTTATGGAGTGCTGCTGAACCAGAGCTAGTGTGCCCAGTGACAATTTCAGTGGCCCATAGGCCCTTAGTTCACATGGGGCAATTAGCTGCATGCCTGGTGCAGAACCATCTTTTACCAGCAAGGGGATGCACAGGTGTTGCTTGTGTCTCTGTCTCTGCGTCTTATTGTTGTCTGTTGGGACATATGGCTGCAGGAACATGGCCGCTGTGTCCCAATGTGACATGCAGGTGAGGGTCCCCAAACTCACGTTCAGGGACCCGCACCCACAAGCACCCAGTGTTTATCTTATGGCTGTCAGAATACCCAAGTAGTGCTTAGTCACACCCTTCTTGTATCTCATGGTTGTCAGAATACCTGAATAGTGCCTCCATTGGATTGGCTGCAGTCAATGTTCAGCCAACATTTTTCCACCTGAACATTTTACTTGAGCTGGATGGTGTTGGCAGGGCCACCCACGGCTCAAATTTTGGCCAATTGTATGGACTCATTTATGTAGTGGGGACGCGGCGGATATCTGGGGGCCTCTTTATTTTAAAGGGGGCTCCCAGATTCCAATATGTACCCTCCCCATGTTGACGGCAGGTGGTCTGGTATGGTTCAAGAGAGGGGGCACATGCTTGTTGTGCCTCACTTTTCTGGCCAACAAAGTTGCATGCCTGGATAAGGGTCTGGTATGGTTTCAGGGGCACCCCACATTTTTTTTTTGCATGGGGCCCCCTTTAAAATCTATACTGTAATACATCCAAAGAAACACAATGCAAAGCAACAATCTAATAAAGCCTCTGAACTGCCATGTGTACTGCCCAATATTGGTCAATAAGATTTTGCTGACTTACATGTGACGTGCGTTCTGAATACAGGAAGACAATGCCCAATGACATGAGCCCTACTGATCCAAACTAAAAATATTTTTATTTTTTATCAAATATTTGTTTTCCCATTTTTCATCCGTTGTTGCATCTCAGGGCTGCTGAACTCCTAACGCCTTCCTACTTCCCACCATGCCCTTAATGTGTGGTTGAAAGAGCTACTTAATGTGACAACACGGAAGCACAATTAGGAGACAGGGACAGAGAGTTGTCACCCAATGATAGGGTCTGTAGTACAAGGACCTTCATGACAGGTATTATTTTAGTGAAAGCAGTTGACCTATAAATATCGAACATTGCTGTTGAAATAACTTTAAGATGTTAAATCTTATATGAGATATTTGTGATTGGGTTTACACATCAGTGCGGGGAAAAGGTTCAATGGCACCTAAGGCAAAAAGACCAAAGTGTGCCCCCCCCCCCCCATTAGCAGAGAACTACTTTAGAAGAAGGGGTGAGCTTGGGTTTGGTCTGAACTTGGATGGAAGTGGTGGCCATGTGGCCATATCAGGTCAGTGATGTCCTGAGTATCTCCGTCCCTTTGTGTCATGCAGCTGCGGGTTGCAAAATGCCGCATCCGCAGCTGATTGACCGGGCACTGACAGCTTACTATCAGTTTTGGCAGAACATGGGTTTGAACAAGCCAAATTCAAGCTCATCTCTGTTCAGTAGTATAGGTTGCAGGTCTAGCCCTCTTTGTGCCCCGTCCTGCTAAAGCGCCTTAGGCAGCCGCCTCTTCTGCCTACCCCTTGGCTCAGCCCTGTTACCCATACGTTATACCCAATTCTGAACCTAATTTTTCCTGCTATTTATCACACCACTAACATCAATCTGTTCAGTTCTCACTCCTGAAACCCTTTTGTTCACATCAGGACCAAATACATATCTTGGCTGATGATTTCTTTGTGAATCAAAAGCACAGTCCTCGGGAACAAGATCTAAATAACGAAGGCCCAAAGTAAAGTTATTTGTTGCTTCAGTTCTCTGATATCTAATAAAAAAAAAACAAAAATGAAAATATCAATTTTTAGCAGGCAAACCATTTAAAAATCTAATTGTGGCTTTTGCATACTCCTAATCCTGGGCTGTTATGAGGAGCCGTATGGAGCTAAAAAGGGCTCTGCAGCCATTCATTTTACCAATCAGCTGTCTAATTAATAGATGTACCGGCTAGTCACACTCCTGCCATCTCATACACATTGCAAATGATCTTGCGCTGCCCCTGCATTTTTTACAGATTGGCTTGATGTCTTGCAAAAGCGTAGGAGGTAATATCCATAAAAAAGCAACTGTGATTGCTATTAAACAAAATAAAAAATACTCAGAATCCTAGCTTGCCTGGCATAGAGCGGAGAGAGGGGCCCTGACACATTTAACCTCACCTGCTAGCCCTCACTTTGCTCCATTAAATGCCATTGGTGCCTATAAGGCCTACTCAGCTTCCAGCTGCTCAGTTAGATTACAGAAGCGATTCCCCGTCGCTTAGTACTCGCGGGAGGCAATTTACGTAGCGCTAATTTTCCTATTATTGGTAAACTTGTTGTGAGCAGCACGAACCGGCCCATCCGTCTCATTCCTGCTCTTTATTAACAGCAATAAAATGCTATACAGATACGTGATGGGAATGAATAGCATTGCATCTAAAGAGAAGGAAGGGGGGGGGGGGAGTGAGAGTCCCAACCACAGCAACTCAAGGGCCGATAATCATTGTTGTAGTGCTTAAAGGGTTAATGCGACCCCATTTTCTAATAGGGATGATTGGATGGGGTCCCTGAAGCCTCTTTCTCTGTTTTTGCTCTTCATTTAAGTCATTATCAGGAAAGTAAGATGAAGGTGGGACCAGCTTCTTCACAAGGGTGGAAAGTGAGAAGTAGAGGAAGATAGCCCTTGTACAAGTGACTCTAATACAGCGTAATTAAAGGACTGTGACTGTCCCTGATATTAGGCTCTTTGTCATTAAATAAGCAATTAACATGGGGGAGGGGGGGGGGGTTACACTGTTTTGTGGTGAATTTGTATTTCATAATAACAGGCCAGAAATAGGAGGAAGGTTTTACAGTTAATTTAACACCTATGGCCAAACTGGTCAATATTGTTCTGAAAAGATTTACAGTGGTACCTCCTGTAACATATGGATAGACGTTTATCTGACTGTCTGTCTGGTCTATAGCATTGTAACAACTCCCTTTTATATGTCTAGCCATCTACCTATTACCATTTCTTTCTTTCTTTCTTTCTTCCTCTATATCAATCTATCTAAACTCTTTCTTTCTTTCTTTTTCTTTCTTTCTCTCTCTCCATCTCTATATCACTCTATCTCTCTTTCTTCTTCTCTCTCTCTCCTCCCTCTTGCTTTTCTACTCTCTCACTCATATCTATCTGTCTCTATCTATCTATCTATCTATCTATCTATCTATCTATCTATCTCTTCTCTGACTGGCTATCCCCTATTTCTCCCTCTCTCTTGTCTATGTAGATATATTTACAATTTTCCTCAAAATCTATCTATCTATCTATCTATCTATCTATCTATCTATCTATCTATCTATCTATCTTTCTCCTTCCATCTACCCATCTTCCACATCTTCTTAATTTCTATGTATTCTATCTGTCTATCTATCTATCTATCTATCTATCTATCTATCTATCTATCTATCTATTTTTATCTATCTATCTATATTCTTTCTATCTATCTATCTATCTATCTATCTATCTATCTATCCATTCTTGCAAACACATTTCCAAACAAAACTGTAGAGTCACATAAAATATAATTAAAATATTCATTCGTGGCAAAATCACTTCAAATAAAAAATGTTACATAATAAAATAAATTAAACTCCATAAACCCAAACCATATAAAATATACTAGCCACCATGATCTCTCTTTTAACCATGTCTAAAGATATTAGCAATATTACTCTCTAATGCCATTTTATTGTCATATAATCCATTCATTATTCCACTGTACATTAGATTCTTAATTTACACAAAGGTATAAAGCCCATCTGACATTTTTTTTTCATTTCCTTTTAAAATAGAGGTTAAACCATAATATTAAAAAAAAAGAGCTAAAGAGTTCATTTTTATGTGTAAAGTTTGTTTTTGCACTTTACAAACCTGAATGAGAGCTGTTGAAGCATTGAAATAATTAATAGAAAAAGTCACATGCGGCATGGAGGTGCCTTGGAGGGGCTTGGTGCCAAATCTCTTGGTGAAGAATCCAGCCATTAAAAAGTGAAAGATTTTTTTTTTTTTCACAGTGTTTTAATCTGCTGAGCCTTGATGTTTTCTATTTCTTTAGCTCTGAACTGCAGTCCTGGAAATGTCTTTCATAGAACAAGCTGTGGAAACATTGTCATGAAGTTTTCTCACATGTTTCTTTAAGTCAAAATTCCTACAGAACCCTTTTCCACAGGTCCCACAAGTAAAAGGTTTCTTGTCATTGTGCGTGTGCATGTGAAATGTTAAATTATAGATCTGATGAAAAGCCTTGTTGCAGATGGTGCATTTGTATTGCTTCTCTCCACTGTGGGTCAGCTTGTGATTTTTGTAATTCCCTAAAGAGAAAAATAAAATGAAAAAAAAAAATAAAAAATTGTGATTTTTGTTTTTTTTTACAATTTCACAGCCAGCACCTTTAAATACACTTTCCTGGAGGAAGCTTCATTAGGATTGAAGCCACAAGTCGCTGGAAACTTGTCAAACTTACTCTGCATCAACCTAATTGAACAGGCAACTGTCAAATTAAAAAATTATAAAAAGGTCAAATTTGTGACCCGGAGAAAAGCAGAAGAAAAAAAAATTGTAGGAAATAAATGGCACATCCTTTTCCCTTCTAATGTAGTTAATACTGGTGGTGAAATATGTGGAAGGTAATGAACCAGAATGCTGAAGGGTTACATATAAATCAGAAAAAAATAAATATTCAAATATAAATATATGTTTGTGTATGAACTGTATGCGTATATACGGTGCTTGTATGTATGTGTGTTTATATATATATATATATATATATATATATATATCTCAATACATGTGTGTGTATATGATATATATATATATATATATATATATATATATATATATATATATATATATATATATATATAAAATATTGATATAGAATATACATTTGAACTAAATATACATATATACATTTTTATATATTTTAATATACGTGTATATTAAAATTACATATATAGCATATTCACATGCAGTGCTGATTGTGATCATTGGAGAAAAGTTCAGAAAAATTGCACCACTTTGTTGTAACCTTATCAAAGTTGCAATTACCAAACAAAATTGATTGCTAAAATCTAAAATATTTTAAATAGAAATATAAAATAAAATATAAAATATAAATAAAATATTGCTAAAATATAAAGATTGCTAAAATATAAATTCTTTAAAAAAAATACACTGCACTGTAAATTAAACAAAAAACTAAATGTAACAATGGAAACCTATATTAAATACACTACATAATTTGGATACAGTCAGACAATTTGGGAGCTTTCTTACCTTTTTGGTGAAATCCTTTGCCACAGAATTCACACACAAATGGTTTATATCCTGCATGGATTCTGATGTGGGTGTTTAAAGTGGAACTTCTGTTAAACGCTTTGCCACATTGATTGCACTTGTGAGGTTTCTCCTACAAAAAAAAAAATCGGGACGATTGGTTGTTTGTGTGTAGCTGAGATCATTTGAGGGCTATTATTGAGAGTGTAACTGCTTATTACTTGCGTGTGGATGATCTTGTGTCTGCACAGGGTGCTGGCCTGTCTGAATCCCTTGCCACAGACTTTGCACACGAATGGTCTGGCCCCGGTGTGTACTGGCATATGCCTGGTGAGGTTGTAATGGGCATTGAAGACCTGGCATTGGAAAGTTTAAAATAAGGCTTAAGGTAGGTAAAAATGTTTTAAGAGCAGTATTTTAAAATACATGCATGCCTTAGAAAACAAATAAGGTAAAAAAAAAAAAAAAAAAAAAAAAAAAAAAAATAAAAAAAATAAAATATATATATATAAAACTTTTTTTTCTTTTTTAAGTGGCTTCCTGACCTCTATAAGCTTATGTTATTAGGCTTACAGTCCCTTTTATTTCACGCTGTGAAACCATTACATTCTATATTTGAAAATCATTATTGCAGCTCAGTAGGGGAGCTATTTGCAATTATGTTATCATTCAGATTCTCTGCTAAAACGGCAAAGTGCAAGAGCTTCTGTATGACAGAGGAATGCTGACACTTGCAGTGCCACAAGGGCTGACAGCCACTGATTCTACAGATTTCCTCTATCTGAACTAATGAAAAGCAGTTTCGTTGGAAAGTAAGGGAGAAAAAGTGCAGCTGGATGTTTATATTGTATTATTATATGATAATAATAGCACACGTGTATGTTATACATTTTATAGTAGTGAGATGTAACGTAACTATAATATATTAAACTAAGTGCATCTCTATATTGTATTTTAGGATGTTACTGTAACATTATGTATGACTAGTATCTGCGGTGTGTTTACAATCACACTTTCATATATATAGTATTAAAATAAACATTTTTACAATAATAAATATTATTTCTATAACTATAATGCCATACATTAACTCGTGTAAAGTAGCATTATATAAATATGTATATATATATTACACAGTGCAAATACACACTTATTAAAGCTGTATATTACAATGCTATAAAACAACACTAAATACAAAGACACTCTAATTTGTAATAAATCAGATAAAACAATACTCTATTATACTGTTATATATGCAACACTATATACAACTACACCTATATAGTAGTAAAGTGGAATAATACAATACTGTATTGTGTTGTTATGTACACAACAGGATATAAAACATACTTCTAGAAGTAAAGTAATAAAAGGCAAATTCATATTGCTCTATATTCCAAACTATGCAATTGTATTCCTATAGTAAAGTATAATACAATATTATATTTAATTATAAAATATATATATTATTATATTACATTATATTATACTATAGTGTAGTATGCTGCAATATATAGAAGAGTATATACAGACATTTATATAGTAATACTCTATATAAAGTGTCATGCATAAAAATAAGAGTATATAACAAAGTAGTATATACAATACTAAATACAACTCTATCGCTTCTATAGTAGTAAAGCAATATAATACAATCCTTAACTGTTCTACATAGAATACTATTAACAAACACACTCATATACTATTAAAGTCGTGTATGCAATAAATTAAACTAAATTAAACTCTACATACAAATACACTCCTATAATAGTAATGAAGTGGTATACAATACTATAATAAAATGTTCTACATAGAAAACGATCTACAAATATACTCATATAGTATTAAAGTAATGTATACAATACTAAATTCAACTCGACAACTCTACACACAAATACACTCCTTTAGTAAAGTAGTATTTTACAATCCTTTATTCAAATCTTCTATATAGAGTAGGATCTACAAATACACTCATATACTATCAAAGGTGTATATAAAGTATACTCTGTGTACAGCTATGTATATAAATACTCACCTATAGTAAAGTAGTATTATACAATCCTATATTAAAGTGTTCTATATCTATACAGAGTACAATCTACAAATACACTCATACTATTAAAGTAGTATATGCAATACTAAATTAAACTCCAATTCTGCATATAAATACACTCTTATTGTAAAGTAGTATTATATAAGCCTATACTGTATTAAAGTGTTCTATATAGAGTACGATCTGCAAATTTACTCATAATATGGGAGTAGTATATACAATACTAAATTAAACTAGAACCCTTTATATAATTACACTTCTATAATAAAGTAATATTTTACAATCCTATATTAAATGTATAGGATCTACAAATATACTCATATACTAATAAAGTAGTATCAGTAGTAAATGAATCTCTATGTACAACTATTTATACAACTACGCTTCTATAGCAATGTAGTATTTTACAAGTGTTCTATATAAAGTACAGTCTACAAATGCACTCGTAAAGTATATAAAATACTAAATTAAACTACAATTCTTTTTATAAATACACTCCTATAGTAAAGTAGTATTTTAAATCCTATATGAAAGTGTTCTAGACTGGGTAAAGTCTACAAATACACTCATATACTATTAGAGTAGTATATAAAATAGTAAATTAAAGCACAACTCTTTATATAAATACACTACTATAGTAAAGTAATATTATAAATCCTGTAAAGTATTCTATATAGGGTACAGTCTATAAATACACTCATATACGATTAAAGTAATATATAAAATAGTAAATTAAAGCACAACTCTTTATATAAATACACCTATAGTAAGGTAGTATTATAAATCCTATATTAAAGTATTCTATATACAGTCTACAAATACACTCATATACGATTACAGTAGTATATAAAATACTCAAACTAAAGCACAACTCTTTATATAAATACACTACTATAGTAAGGTAGTATTATATATCCTATATTAAAGTATTCTATATACAGTCTACAAATACACTCATATACGATTAAAGTAGTATAGAAAATACTAAAATGAAAGCACAACTCTTTATATAAATACACTACTATAGTAAAGTAGTATTATAAATCCTATATTAAAGTATTCTATATAGGGTACAGTCTACAATTACACTCATATACTCGTAAAGTAGTATATAAAATACTAAATAAAAGCACAACTCTTTATATAAATACACTACTATAGCAAAGAAGAATTATAAATCCTATATAGTGTTCTATAAAGGGTACAGTCTACAAATACACTCATATACGATTAAAGTAGTACATAAAATACTAAAATGAAAGCACAACTCTTTATATAAAATACACTACTATAGTAAAGTAGTAATATAAATCCTATATAGTGTTCTAGTGTACGATCTACAAATACACTCATAGTACTAGAATAATATATACAATTCTAAACTGTTACCTGTCCAGGTCTCTAGATAAACCTTATATATAGATGTATAATAATCAAGAATAATTAGTAATGTACTACATAAACCATAAATATTATCCCAATGCCATACAACCCACACAAGATATCAATCACTTAATAGCGGTAAGATAAAATGTACAATTTAGGATAAACGATAAAAATATAATTCTATATATAGGGTCATGTATCTTATATAATTTCATATTAAATGATGAGAGCAGCAGCCCTGCCATGGCACACCCTGGGCTCTCCTTACCTTGCCACAGACTTCACAGGTGAAGATTTTGGGCTTGCCATCTAAAGGGTTGGCTCCAAGTTTGGGGTGACTTTTGGGGTTCCTGTCCACAGTGTTCTCCTTCATCACCTGGTCCAGCTGGCCAGGCAGCCTCTCCTTGTGCGGGTACTGGGCCATGGGGAACTTTTCTGGGGACAGTCCGGAGAGTTTGGCGTTTTCCAGCAGGTAGAGTTTCTGGTGGGCGCTGAGAGACGCCTGGGACTGAGCGTTGAGAACGCTGGAGGGGATGAAGAGGTCGGAGGGGCTGTAGGTAGAGTCCAGGTAGTTGAAGTAGTAGAGGGGGGCATTAGCGCCTGGCATGCCCACCGCCTGGTTGATGACCTGAGGTTTGATCACCCTGCTGTTGGCCACCACAGCCGGTCCCAGGGTCAGGTCGTTCTTGCAGCACATGGCACAGCTGGGTTTGCACAAGCCGGGGGAGCCGCAGACTGGGGCCCTCATGGTGCTCTTCCAGATCTCCGAGTAGTTGAGTAGGGACTTGGAGTGGACATCATAGCCCAGGGACTGCACGGGGATCATGCACGGGATGGGGGAGCACAAGTTCAGCAGCTTCTTGGCGTCGGCGTCGGCCAGCGCTCGGCTCTGCTCGAAGAAGGCAGGTTTGGGCTCCGAGGACTTGGCCATGATCCTCTCTATGGAGAAGGCCAGGCTCTTGGGGGTGCTGGACGCCCCGGTTCTCCCTTCCAGGCAGGTGGGCAGGACTGGCTCCAGGGTAGCCGAGCTGGCCATGGCTGGGGGCTCCTCGCTCCTCTGCAGCAGCAGCCAACTGGAAGTCACCCGGCTCTTCTCTGCATTCCAGAAGACACAAATCAATTTAATAAGCAACTTGCTCATGTCATGTCACCTATTTACATTCAAATGAACAACCCCCCCCCAAAGAACAATGACACCCAGGGGTACCAGATTAATGCTCATTAAGCAGCAACTAGGCTAAGGTAAGACCTTGCTAGTAAAAGCCAGGCAGCCCCAGGATCCTCCATACACAGCCACTTACCTCCAGCAGGAGCATGAGAGGGGCTGCACTGCCGACACCCTGTCACATTTCCCAGCTCAGCTTCTCCAGCAGCAGCGTGGGATCCGGGCTCTTTCTACACTTTGCTGACATCACATGAAGTCACAGCAGTCACTCCGAGAAGAATGACATGTTCCATCCACCGGGGCAGGACAAGTCTACCTACCCCCACTTCTGATGGATGGATGAGGGAGGGGGGAGCTGGGAGCACACACACACACACACAGACACACACACACACACACACACAGACACACACACACACACACACACACACACACACACACACACACACACACACACACACACACACACACACACACACACACACACACACTCACTCATTAAACTCACCGCACACTAAGTTTAATGTGGAGGACCCGCAGCCATGATCTGAAGCCCCTCACTCTATGAAAAGATTCCTGAATGATAAGGAGGATGAGGATGAGGATGGTGCTTCTTCCTTCATTGGAAGGCTGGACTGCTCACTCATTTATCCTGGGACTAATGGCAGCTCACCTATATAGAGAGACAGCAGAAGTGGATGATATTTATTATATGGTAATGAAATCATCTGTGATCACCTGCAAACACTCCACTAGGAATTGGACATCACATGTCTAACCTAACTGTCTGATCTCTCATTCCTTTCTCTTTCTTTCTTTCTTCTTTCTTTCTTTTTTCTCTTTCTTTCTTTCTTTCTTTCTCTTTCTTTTTTCTTTCTTTCTTTCTTTCTATCCATCATCTCTATATCGCGCTATCTAACCTCTTTATATGTGTCGTCTATTTTCTTTCTTTTTTTTTCTTTCTTTTTTTTTTTCTTTCTTTCTTTCTTTCTTTCTTTTCTTTCTTTCTTTCTTTCTTTCTTTCTTTCTTTCTTTCTTTCTTTCTTTCTTTCTTTCTTTCTTTCTTTCTTTTCTTTCCTTCCTTCCTTCCTTCCTGTCCATCTATCCAAGTATCCTATTATAGTTTATCTCTCTTTTATACTTGTAAATGTAGTTATTCTGTTATATCTTCCTCACTGTAACTATAAGGCTATAAAAATGTATCTTCGACATTAAGAATGATACCCTTTCATTTTTGTCTCTCTATTATCTACCTATCTATCTCTATCTATCTATCTATCTATCTATCCTTAAAATAATTTTTCTTTCTTTCTTTCTTTCTTTCTTTCTTTCTTTCTTTCTTTCTTTCTTTCTTTCCCCCTCTTTCTATCTTTCTTTCTATCTATCTATCTATCTATCTATCTATCTCTATCTATCTATCTATCTATCTATCGATCGATCTTTATTTATTTAGTTCGTTCTTTCTTTCTTCTTTCTTTCTTTCTTTCTTTCTTTCTTTCTTTCTTTCTTTCTTTCTTTCTTTTCTTTCTCTCTATCCATCTCTTTATTTCTATATCACTTTATCTAACCTCTTTCTAAACTCTTTATATATGTCAATATCTATTTTCTTTCTTTCTTTCTTTCTTTCTTTCTTTCTTTCTTTCTTTCTTTCTTCTTTCTTTCTTTCTTTCTTTTCTTTTCTTTTCTTATCTTTCCTTTCTCAATATTTTATACATAGAAGAAGAGCATGCTATTGTCATCCAGTTATATCCTATTCACTAGACTCCCCCTAACTATAAAACTATAAATATAAATTTGACATTAAGACTGATACCCTTTCACTATAGGTTTTCTTCTGCACATGCAATGACAGAAATACAAATACATTTCTGATATATTGAATGAATAAATATTTTCAAGATGAATTGCCTCTCTAATTATTCTTACTTTATAATGATAATAGAAATCTATTGTATAGAGCAGGTAGATGGGAAGAATGGTCCTTCTCAAAGAGACATCATCTATTTTGCATGTTCTTGCCTACAAAGCACAGGGCAGCCTTCTCTCCGAACAGACCTGGCTCTGTTCAGCCTGAAATAAGGGTCACTTTCCATTCTGCATGTGTGATCAGGGTGACACCAGGCACCTCAAGTGTATAACGATCCCCTATCAATGCGTTATCACGTTAACGTTCTGTATCAGGCTCGAATTACACTCCAAATAATTGAATATTTGTAGGGTTCGTCTAATAAGAGGTGCTGGAAGGAGAAGACGCCAGAAAAAAAAATTGAACCGACTGTGCCTGAGATGTATGGGGTTTGTATAATTGAGAAATGCCCCATTTCCACCTGTTTAACAAGCAGATTGAAAATAGCAGCCCCTCTCTCTCTGGATCTGATTAAACGTTCTTTTTCCTTCTTAGACTATTGAAGGGAAAGCAATTTTCCAACGTGATTCATAGAGCTGGATTCTGCACTCCTTTCACTTGCAGCCACTAAGGCTCTGCATGGGAGCAGGTTTTGTGCTGCCACTAAAATAGAGGAGGATTATCAAAGGGGTGTGTGTGGAGGGGGGCAGCCTGGCTAGGGGTGACAGAGGCAATGAAAAGGCCCCCTTTTAAAACAGGACTAAAGTTTGCAGGAATTCACTCAGTTTTTTTCTCTTTAATCTTTAATGCCCTGCTACAATGACACAGCCCCCCCTTCCTCCTCTACAATCCAGCTACTGATGTTTTCAGCACATCTTACCTACTCTGTATACACAACACTCAAGACTTTTCATGGCCCTGCTCAGTCACTGGGCAGTCCTGAATCTCAGTCCTTGCTCTAGTTCTTGAAGTCTCCTCCAGATCTTTTTGGCGGTTTTCATTCAGCCAGAAACCTTAGTTCAAAGGCTCAGGGATCTTGCTCCAGTTCCTAAAATCCCCTCCAAAAGTTTTTTATTTTTCTAGTTTTTTAGTGCTGAGTCTTAAGGGTCATGCTTCAGTTCTTCAAACTTATTACAATCCTCCAGATTTTTTTGGGAGATTTTTATTTAGTGCTGGGTTTTAGGAATATTGTTGCACTTCCTAAAATGTCCTCCATATCTTTTTTTTTGTGTTTTTTTAGTATTGTTATTACTATTAATATAATACAGGATTTATATTGCACCAACAGTTTGCGCAGAGCTTTACAACAGTCAACTACAATACAATTTAATACTGGGGGGATCAGAGGGTTCTGCTTGTTAGAGCTTACAATCCAGGAATTAGTGCTGTGTCTTATGGATCTTGCTCCAGTTCTTCAAATTTCCCCCAGATCCGGTTATTGAAACCTCCTCCAGATCTTTTTGGAAGATTTTTATTTAGTGCTGAGCCTTAGGAATATTTTCAAACTTCTTAACATTTCGTACATATCTTTTTTTTTCTGTTTTCATTAAGCCTTATGGATCTTGCTCCAGCTCTTCAAATTTCCTCCAAATCCAGTTATTGAAATCTCCTCCAGATCTTTTTACGGTTTTTTTATTTACAGTCTTAGGAATATTGTTACACTTCTAAAACATCCTCCAGATCTTTTTTGTTTTTTTTTTTTTTTTTCATTAGGTGCTGTGTCTTAGTGATCTTGCTCCAGTTCTTCAAATTCCCTTCAGATCCAGTTATTGAAACCTCCTCCAGAACTTTTTTTTTTTAATTATTTTTATTTTTTTTTTTCATTTAGAGTCTTAAGAATAGTGTTACACGTCTTAAAATTTCCTCCAGTTTTTTTGGGTGGGTTTATTTACACTTCTTAAAATTTCCTCCAGATCTTTTTGGGGGTTTTCATCCCCTCCATATCTTTTTTGTGGTTTTATTTAGTTCCGAATCTCTGGGATCTTGATCCAGTTCTTCAAATGTCCTCCAGATACACTTATTGAAACCTCCAGATCTTTATTCTTACAATTCTTAACATTGGCGCCATATCATTTTTGTGGTTTAGCTTTGCTCCATGTCTTCAAATTTCCTGAGTCTTAGGGACCTTGTTTCAGTTCTTCAGATTTCCTCCAGATATATTGAAACCTCCTCCAGATCTTTTTAGGGCTCTTTTATTTTAGGGTCTTAGGGATATTGTTATCCTTTTTAAAATTTCCTCCAGATCTTTTGCGGTCTTCTTTAGTCCTGAGTCTTAAGAATTTATCTTCAGCATTTGAAACCTCCTCCAGATCTATTTATTTTAGGAACCTTGTGCCAGATCTTCAAATTTCTTCCAGATATTTTTAGATTTCTAGGATTAGGGATATTGACTCAGTTCTTAAAACCTCCTCCAGATCTTTTATGGGGTTTTCAGTTAGTCCTGAGTCTTTGAGATTTTGCTTCAATTCTTGAAATCTCCTCTAATTTTGTAGGGAAGGGGGGGGGGGGGTATTTTGACTCTTTGGGATATTGTTCCAGTTCTTAAAATTCCCTCCAGATCTTTTGCTGGTTCTCTTTAGTCCTGAGTCTTAGGAATTTTTCTCCAATACTTGCAACCTCCTCCAGATCTATTTTTCATTTAGGGATCCTGAACCACTTCTTAAAATTTCTTCCAGAAACTCAATTTTTTTTGATGGGGTTAGGAAACTTGCTCCAGTTCTTAAAGCTCCCTCCAGATCTTTTATGGGGGTTTCAATTAGTCCTAAGTCTTAGAGCTCTTGCTCCAAATCTTGAAATCTCCTCCATTTTTTTATGGGGGAAGGGGGGGGTATATTTAGAGTCTTCTAGGCATATTGTTACCCTTCTTAACATTACCTCCAGATTTTTCTTTTGAGTTTATATTTAGTCCTGAGCTTTGAAGAATCCATTTCTTGAACCTCCCTGGGGTCTATTTTTACTTAGGGATCTTTCTAGTTCTTCAAATTTCTTCAAGATACTATTATATGTTTTGGGGTTAGAGATCTTG